TCCTTCCTTCTACACCATAGGGAACCTCCTACATAGAGTGAGGTTACACTCACAATCTACATGAAGTAGCAGTAATCAGGGAATTTCTTAATAAAAACATACTACCCATACATTTATGTACTAGGGTAGATTTGTTCACTTACAAACTTGAATCCCTACTCCTAAGAGTACTGGAAGTAAGAGAGAATGGATAATAAGTTATAAAGACATACTGGAATATGCATATATATATGGTATCTCTAAAGATAGGGAAATTCTAAGACCATTATTAGAAAGAGAGAAAAAAATATACAAACTGATATATGAAATAATCTGCATTAAGCTAGGGCATGAAAAATCCATGCAGTCTCCAAACCCTACCCAGGACTATGACCAGTCTCATCTTACTGCACAGTGAACGTAACAAGCTATTTCTACATGTGTAGGTTATGATGTTATGACCAATCAATGTCTCTATTTTACAAAATGCACTGTACTTCTAAAGTAATGTATGTGATGACATATAAAAGACACTTTTTCCTTAAAAAAAAAATCTATATTTGCCATTTGATTTCCTACATACAAATGTTAATTGTTTTCCTTGCACAGACTCCGTACCATCTCTCTAGGTAGACTAGTCCATAACTCAGTGCAATAATATGCCGTGATTATTGTTCTGGCACCTGATCCCATAACGTTTTGGCTATTCGTCTGGCATGCATGCACATCAACTCTTTCTGCACAAATATACTTTCATGCTTACACATTCTTTAAAACAAACTTTGGCACTATTTTTTGTGTTGGTTGTGGTATGTGTGGCAATAGATCAACAATGATTTCAAAGTTGGGAATGAATTTACAAGTTTTCTGCCGTGAAAAAGGTTTTTTTACCCTGGAGTACATTATTGTAAATATCAATTCAGACAGTTGCAAGAAACAGTCATGACCATTGTACTGCTGCTGAGGCATTATGCTAGATGATTTTCAATTAAATGTCAAACAAAAATTACATCCTACAATGTTGCCAGGAAAATAGCAGTCAATATGTAGTATAAGGTAGTGGCAGAGTTGGGTAATAAAACCTACATGAAATGATATAACAATACAAACCAAGACAAAGTTCTTCTATGGCAATATGTGTGCAAATGCTTCCTAAGGCTGCTATACATAAAAGAAAAGAGAAGATCCCCCCCGGTCAATATGTAGAAGAGGGTAGTGGGTTACTTCTGAAACAATTTTGATATTTTTCTGCATGAAATCCACTGCTTTCAATAATTCTAGCCATTGTTTCTTGTGCAAATGAATCGTTGAGGAGATATGATCACCATCTCCATTGACAATCTTGATTTGATAGTCCCAATAGCAGGGGAGGGCATGAAGATTATCAGGGAAATTATGGGGTAAAACAGGATCCCTGTGGTTGTTAAACAAAACATCCTACTCACATGTGGTATATATTCCCTAGCATTTGCACACATATTGCCATAGAAGAACTTTGTCTTGGTTTGTATTATTCAATCATTTCATGTAGGTTTTATTACCCAACTCTGCCACTACCTTATACTACATATTGTCTGTATATGCATCCAGAATTCACCCTCACAATGTAAACAAGATGAGCAACCAAAATTGGGGGATCTTCTCTTTTCTTTTACATATAGCCCCCTTGGGAAGCATTTGCACACATATTGCCCTAGAAGAACTTTGTCTTGGTTAGTATTGTTCTATCATTTCATGTACGTTTTATTACCCAACTCTGCCACTACCTTACACTACATAGTGTCCAAAGTAGCTCTTAAGCACAGTAAAATATCCCAACAGAGACTGAAAACAAATCTCGAGTGAAATGTTGAAGACAATTATTAGGTTTACCCAAGCATGAAAGTATGTTCATGCGCAAAGAGTTGGTCCATGATGCCAGACGAATAGCCAAAATGTTATGAGAACCAGTGCCGGAACAATAACCACAGCAATAATAACAACAATAAGTATCATTTTGTTATTTAAGCTCTTCTAGCCTCCTGCACTAGACAATACAGTGACTGATTCTATGTACATTACTACATATATGTGTACTAGAGAGGAATCCATCAATACCAAAATTGTTGCAATAAGTTATGTAAAGGTATTGTGAAAAATTATAGAGAAATATAATGTCCCAAGAGCCATTACATCACTATACATGGGAAGTCAGAAATGCAAAATGACTGATAATTTGTTATTTGTATATCTCCAGGTTGAACCAAGAGAGTAACATATTCCAACCTAATCTGCAGTATATGAAGCAACGCCAATCACAAGGGTAAAGCCAGAATTATTTTCTCAAGTACGAGTCGAAATGCCAACCTGTAATTATTGTCACGCCAAAATGACACCTGTCAGAGAGAACAAATCTCAATAAATAATTACAAATTTCCATACCACGTCTACTTGAACACCAACTTATAAACCAATCATCATTACCTTAAATGAAATAGATTGCTTTACTTCGTATTACAGTTTCAAAGGACACGGGAGTGTA